GGGCTTAGGTAAAATTAGTCCATAAAACCTTAATAATAGCAATAAATAAGAAATAAGAAGTATTCCTTTGAGAATTACATCAGGTTGATCAAATGGATAGAGGGTCGAAGGTCCAGATCATTATACTACAACGAAAAAAATGACATACATAATTGAGGCTTTAGTGGCGGTTTTACTCAGTAATAAAAAGATTTGTAGCTGTTTTCAAACTGCTGTAAGACCGTCATAGTTGGTATCCGCTGTAAGGCTTTTTCATGAAAATTTTGCGAGCGCTAGGAAAATTTTTTGAAGCGATTATACTAACAGCAGTTTAAACCACCACTATATTTCTGCCACTATATTCCCACTTATCTTGATCTATTAATTAAGATTTATCCATTAACCACCCCTAAGATGGGCGAATTATTACGTCCAGCGACCGGATCGTCCGGACATCAATCCAAACTCGCCATGTCATCTAGATACACTGGGCCCCGGGTGTATCTGGGTGACGTGGCGCTTCTGAAGTGGTGTCCGGACGAATCCGGACACCGGACATAAAAATTTTCCCCTAAGATGGCATTGATCGACCTTAATTAGCTCTCTTTGTCTACTTCAACATGAAGAATATTTGAACTACAGAGGACAAGTCCTTAAAAAGAATCAAATGCTACAGTGCTCAAGAAAATTATTCTTGAAAAGCCAAAAATCAAATAATAGGAATAGTTATTGCCTAGGCCCTAGTCCCACGGAAAAACAGATGTTCGATTTTAAAATGGGACGAATGTTAATAATTGATCACCAGGAGGACAAATGATTGAATAAATATGCAAGCTATAAGGAGGCGTAAAAAAAGGACTTCCCACGCATCTGACGAACCCACATACTTCTATAGTAATTACTCTCCAAACAAGTTTTAGATGAGAAGTTATCTTAGCATATGTGGAATTAGTGATGCCATAGCATCTATCTTATATCTGCAAATTTATACACACACTTATAGGAAAATGTGTGATTTTCGGCAGTTTATCAGAGTTCTAACTATTTTCGTTGAAAAACACAATTTCTGATGGACTTTTGGCGGATTCATTTCTGTCGGTAAAACGTGAGTTCAAAAATAGTTTTTCAAACGGGTCGGGTCCAACCCGGATTTTCCGGGTCGGGGCCGGGTCAGATTTTTGTAGGCTTATTTAATCTTTCAACAAGAAGGAAGTCCATGTAATGAGGAGAATGATTATCAAATGTTGATAGTTGATGGATCTTGCATATAAGTCATTAGCAAGTTTCTTGCATATAAGTCATTAGCAAGTTTTTTTGAGATGGTTAATGAAGAATCTCAGAAGTTAGGTGATTGTGACCAATCAACTAGGTCATTTACTAATAGGATAGGATGATGTTTGATTAGTAAGATTGATATAAGATGTTGATAACCGAAAAATATCCAATGTTAGTCATTGGTAAGCATAGGAGGATGATTAATAAGAAAATTCAAAAGTTAGACGGTGGTGATGGACTGGATTTATCATTATCTTAATAAATGGGGAGGTTGATTGACTAAAAAAAGTGCACTAGATATTAAATGATGATGAACATCAAAATCATTCGTATAAATTAAACATAGTATATTAGGATTCTTTGATGATAGTTATTGACATTAGATGTTCACAAGAGACAAAAAATAAGGGATGCTAGCGATTAATGTCAGTCAATGATAGATGATGAATGATGGACGATGACAAGCATCAGTGACGATGAATGGTGGGTACGTGATGATGGTCATCGACTCATCGGTATTGGGCAAAATCAATCGATGATATTAAGTAATGATAACTGTCGCCATGATAAAAAATCGTTGGAAGTTAGGTGTTTGGAGAGGATAACCACTATTGTCTTCTAGGATTGAAAGAAGATGGGGTGGTCAAGATTTGTGAAAACATTTGGACATGCAAAATTTCAAAGATGTCCAAGTTTAAAACATTAACCAAATCTTTGAAATTCTTTAATTAACTTTGAAAATTCACTCCATAAAATAGTATCCATGCATGCAGAATAACAACTAACATATTAATAGATTTTTTTTTTCTAGTGGAGATAATGATCATTTGCAAAAACAAAGATATACTCTATCGAATATTTTGAATGGATCCCTCTTGGTTATTTTTTAATAAATCTTAATGTCATCATAAATTTAGATTTAAGAGATTTTGGTCTTCCATTTTTTTCTTATAGGAATGTTTTTTTTAACCTTAAACTTGATTTTTGTAGGAATTTCTAGAGCTTCAAGCGCTATATTATCAAGATTTCTATTTTTTGGTGATGGCTCCTTGCCTCTCTAGATTCTTCTATATTATGTTAATTCTTTTTTATGTCTTTTTTATTGTACTTAGGAGGGATCTTTGGCTCGTAGAATTTATTTTCTTTTTTGTTGTATCTCTTTCTAGCTGTAATGAGCATTAGATCCTTGTTGAGGACTTAATTTTTCCTTATTTTAACGCATATGCTCGTGAGTGAATTTCTCCAACCAAAAAAATGAAAACCCAAGCATAAAATTTGAAGGATCTCTTACACTCAAATGTCCTCAAGAAATTTCTATCGAAGCTTGTGTGATTGTTTTGAAACTATTAGGGCTAGGGGTGAAAATTTTGGATTAGGGTCAACCCGAACCCGACCCCGAACCCGAAACGTGTCGGGTTCGGGTTCAGCATTTCGACCCGTTTCAAAAATCGGGTCGTGTTCGGGTTAACCCTTTGACCCGAAATTGACCCGAAAGTGACCCGATTTTGACCCGACAACCCGAGATTGACCCGATTTTGATTCGTTTTTTACCCGAAAAGAAGAGATTGACCCGTTTTTTACCCGAAAATTAGCCATTTTTTGTTGGAAACGGGTCATTAGGGTCGTGTCGGGTTGACCCAAACCCGAAGCGGGTCGGGTTCGGGTCAGGAAAACTAACCCGTTTTTTAAACGGGTCGGGTTCGGGTTGACCCGATTAATAGTGCCGGGTCAGTTTCGGGTTCGACCCGAGACCCGAAATTGACAACCCTTTAGGGCTATAACACCTTTGACCCAAAATTCTCCCTAAAAAATAATTCAATTATCTTGAGTGATTTTATTAAGAAAATGTGAAGTTGCTAGTGGTCTTTAATTTCTATTAAGTTTTTAACTGCAAAGAAATCCATTGATGGGTCAAACGAGGAAAAGCTTTGACATTTTTGTTTTTCTTCATAAAAAGTGCTTCTTGATCAGCGTATCCACCTTTTTTGTTTTTGTGGCTTTGACATCAGTAAAAATTTATATATATGAAAAAAAAATTTATCAAAGGCCTCCTTGACTTTAATTTGAAGAGTCAGTGTAGAAGATGACTCATTCATTCTTGAGAAAGAAAAAAAAAATTCAACTAATTCCATAAATTTATGAATTAATGAAGGAGGTCTCCAGTCAATATAAATATATGAATGTTCAGTATTTTTTTTTTTTTTGTAGAGTCTTACTGTTTCTTTTATGATCTAATGAAAATGTTGTAGCTTTTACAAAATTATGTACATCTTAAGCCTTTATTAATAAAGACTCTCATTTTATTTTATTTTTTTGAATACACACCTTTCTTCAATATTCATTTCTTTATATATTATTGTTAAGTTTTGCTTGATTTCTCCACAAGTTTCTCTAAATGGACATGAAAGGTAAAATTATAACCCATCTTACTAGGAGAACTTCATTAATTATTGATCAAATTATGATGTTCAGATCATGATAACCCATGATAGATGATTGGGATTTCAAATGGTAGCGAAAGCTCTAAAGTTCTCTAAATTTGTAAATTTTATCTATAAAACATCTCTCCAAATGTATAGAAAGATGGTCTATATATAATTATATTAAAATTTTGGAGGTGCCACTATGATCATTTCTATTAAAATTTTAGACAATTTATTGAATGGTTCGAATGGATCTCTGATAAATTTTTGAAAATGATCAAAATATTTTAATGAACTCATAATTAAATTATCTTAACATGTTATTTATTACATCGATACATTTATTGTATCCATCAACATATAAAATTCCGAAGAAGGGGCTCTGCCTGTTCTCGGGATTTTCCTATGTCCCCTGGTTCTTTTTCTCTCGGGTGTTTTCCCAGGTCTTCTGGGTGTGGATGTTGAAGCTTATTATGGGGTGTTTTCTTTGTCCGTCTGTGCTCATGCGGTAATGTTGGACTGCGGGGTTTTCTTTTGGTTTGCTGGAGGATTTTGGTTTGCTGGGGTATTGGTCCTTCTGCAGGTTGGATGGATTATTTGGTTTTATTGTGATTGTTGGACATGATAATCAGGTTGGGAGCTGTGGTGTGTGTCCTGTTTTGCAGCAGTTTGGTTCTGCTTTTCGGGCTAGTCTGGAGTTGTGCTAGTCTCCCCTCATTCGGCTATATCCTTTTTGTGGTGTTTCTATTTTTTTGTTTAGGAACCTTATATGCTATATTTTCTTCTCTTTTTCTCTTGTCTATCTTTTGTTTTTGCAGGCTCCTTTTTGGGCGTTTGATTGGAAGATTTCTTTGGGGACCTATTGCTAAAATTTGACTTAAATATTTAGATATTTTATAATCTAAAAATCACATCAAAATTCCTACTTGATCACATAATCTTGATGCCATAAAAGACACAATAATATACAAATTTAACTCGTTTTACTTATGAAACTAAAAGATTATTAAACTAAAAAATGTAATAGCTAGATTTTTTTTACTGGGAAACACTCGTATAGTAGTTTTTATTAAAAAGAAGCCATGCATGAACATGACAAGAACAAGCACTACATGAATCACAAAATCCAACTCTATGTGCAAGACTTACAGTTTTAGTGATTCACATAGATGATAAGACCGAGGGGCTACAGTGAAATAAGAGAATAAAAAAAAGAAATAAGGGAGAGGAATTTCTAGATATGCGCAGGTAACAAAGGTAAAGACAGAAAATGCAACATCAATGTTGGCCTGTAAGCTGTGCGTTCTGGGTATTGAATCGGTACAAGATAACATGCTTGCTTTCTTCTCTCGTCTTAATACACACTTCTCTCTCTCTCTCCTCTCTCCTCTCTTTCTCTCTCTTCTCACAAAGTCACATCCATTTGTTTCCTTGCTCTTCTTCCTGACCTCCATTGCTCGGCATATTAGCTTCTAGCTTTACTCAGAAACAAAAAAATCAAAGTCATCTTTCTAGTAGTTTTTCCTTTTTTTTCCTCCTCTTTCGCATATGTAGTTTTTCATATTTTCTGATATGCAGGAGGAGAATTTGTACAAGTTTTTTCTCTGGTAGAAAACCACATAGTATTATCGATCAAAGCCTTTGCTCCACAAACTTTTTTTTTTCTTTTTCTTTCTTGTTAGATTCATCTATAGTTTTGAACATCTAATCAGCTTCTTCCATTTTACATTTCATCTACCAAAAGAAAAAAAAATCAGAATACTTTTATACTTCTTCTTTTGTAATACAGATGAAATCCAGGCAATTTTGCGTTTGCTCTACTTAACTTTGAAGTCCTGATCTTCCTAATATAAGTAGACTTATTAGTCATAAATAATCATATAATTCTCTCTCAATCTCAAGATCTACTTCTCTCTCTATCTCTTTCTCTTTCAAACTTGAATCAGAAACAGACGCAAAGATGAACGGATTCACAGTCCCACTGCATCAGCAACTGATGGAAGAAAACATGTCGAATCTTACATCTGCGTCCGGCGATGCCAGCTTCTCTTCAAACCCTAGCCCGATTAATCCACAGGCAGCAAAGAAGAAGCGAAATCTCCCGGGAAATCCAGGTCTCATCTCATCAAGAATTTTTTAACTGAGAGTAGTAGTACTAAATTTTCTACACATATGATCAGTATTTTATTCGGTATTATTTTTGTATCTGTTTCAAATAAAATATTAATGCTGAATGATACATAATAGAAAAAAAATACTAACTTAGCAAGAAGGAAGAAAAAAAAAAGACCTGTAAGCTGCACTGGCCTGAAAATCTCCCCCATCTAGTGGGAGATTGCTTCAAGTGTAGCCCACACATGTCTTTCATTTGTTAACTTAGTGTTTTTAATCTGAAATATAATTAAAATATTTATGTTTAATATCAAATTTTTATCAATAAATTCACTTCTAATTATATATATTACAGAAATCTTATCCTCCAAAATTTTGTATAAATATTTTTATCTTCTCTCATCTGAAATCCTAATTTTTATACTGAATAAAAAATTTTATGCTAAATTTAAGGAAGTATATAAATAAAAGTTAATTATATATATCACATAAATATATATAATTTTTCTTCTCTATGCCCTTCCTGATTTCACAAATCAGCTAGAAAATTTTCTTCAGGATCTTACTTAGTATGATCAGTTTACAAAGCTTCTTCTCTTATGTACTGAAGCAAATTATATGTTTATACATATATCTTGATCTTGAAAAATACTTTATATATAAGATCCTGAAGCCGAGGTGATAGCTCTATCACCCAAGACTCTCATGGCAACAAACCGCTTCGTGTGCGAGATCTGTAACAAAGGATTTCAGAGAGATCAGAACCTGCAGCTTCACAGGCGAGGCCATAACCTGCCATGGAAACTGAAGCAGAGGAGCAACAAGGAGGTGAGGAAGAAGGTCTATATCTGCCCTGAGGTCTCGTGCGTCCACCATGATCCGACGCGAGCGCTCGGAGACCTGACTGGTATTAAGAAGCATTTCAGCAGGAAGCATGGCGAGAAGAAGTGGAAGTGTGAGAAATGTTCTAAGAAGTATGCGGTTCAGTCTGACTGGAAGGCTCATTCCAAGATCTGTGGAACGAGAGAGTATAGATGCGATTGTGGTACACTCTTCTCAAGGTAATTCATCCACTGAACAAGAATTAATTATCTTCTTCGCTCTTAATTTCTTTCTTCTGAAGTTTGATCTTATAGTTAAAAAGAAAAAATTAGTAATTAAAAAGAAGGATTTTTATTATAATTTTAACAATTTGAATCAGGAATATAAGACAGAAAGAATATTTAAACATGTCATATATACAACTTTTCTGAATCTAAAAGTTTTTTGGTTCATCATATACACATATATCTAGGCTGGTTTATATATACATGCATATTTGTATATCTACTTTACTTTGAGAAATGAATAATTACGAATTTGGTATAATTTTTTACTGTTTTTTAAATAATTTTTTGATTAAAAAATATTAAATTTAAAATTTTTTTACTGAAAATATACAATTAACTTTTGTTTAAAAAATAATTTTGAATATTATCTTGTAATACAAATTAATTAATATTATCTAGCACTTATTATACAAATATCTTTTACTTTTTATAAATCAAATATAATAAAGTTTTGATTAGTTTTGCACACTCATAATAATTTTTTGTCTAATTAATTAACCTATGATACAGTAATTCTTCCCCAAAAGCTGCATCTTTCCAACCCATCTTAGAAGGATATTCATTTAGGCTTTATTAACAATCAATATTTATGATTACTCTAATTATTTAGAAGATAGTTTCAACATTTTACAACCTGGTATTTCAATTTTTTTAGACAATAAATAATTACTCAGTTGAAAAAGAAATTCTTATAAATTATTTGAAATATCTCTAGTTATTAAGATTTGCCCTCTAAATAATTTTTCAGAGCTGTAATAAATCTTAATCAAATTATTTTCATAGCATCACACTGCTAGCTTTTCACCTGGTCTGACTTCCTCAGTTCTTCCAGCAAGCTAAAATTTAATATTATATATAATTTTATATATTTTTTTTTAATTTAAAAGAGTGAGAGTGATCATCAACCTTCCCTGATTTCACCACCAACTGGAAAGGAACAGAAATTCCATCAAAACATTCTCACTTTCACACAGATTATGACATTCTTACTGCAAAAAAAAGTATCCGAGAAAAGTTTCATGCACGAATAACTATGCATCAATTTTTCATTTAATATTTTATTATTTTTTTAATATTGCAGCATATTTCATGCATGTAAGTAATTAATTTAATATTCATGTATTTATATTTTTTTTCTGCTTCCAAACCAAATTAATTTAAGATATCGATGATGAATCAGAATGCTTTTGTCTGAGATATAACATAAAGACACAGCTGAAAGAATCATGACTGGACTAGCCTGCTGTAAGGAACAATATTTTTACATATAAAATTACATAATGTGCCCCCCGACATATTAAATGGAATACTACTTTGTTTTATTTTAAATGGAATATTACTCTCCAAACCATATTTTTTACCCCCAACAAATCTTAAATTTATATGACATACTTTTTAATAGTTACATTACAATCAACACAAAAATAAAAATAAAAATAATACAGGTAATATCACATCATATTAACATAAAAGCCCATGATTATGATTTCGTTTGTGGCGGCTTTTTTATTACTTCTTAAATCAACAACAACAATAACAACATCAAGCCTTTATCCCACTATGTGGGGTTGACTACATGAATCCTTTTTCTTCATTGTGTTCTATTAAAGATCAAATTCTCGTTTAAATCTAATAAAGAAAGGTCATTCATAATATTTTCTAACCAGATCTTTTTAAGTCTGCCTCTGCCTTTCTTAACATAAGTTAAATCTAATACCTCTACTCTCCTAACCGGGTCATTGCAAGGCCGCCGTTTTATGTGACCAAACAATTACTTCTTAAATCAACATTTTAGTAAAAAAATATTTTTTTTTATTAGAAAGCTGTTTTAAAAAGCACTAAAAAATCATCCAAAATGAAACCTATAAAGAAAATGATATGCTTAAAAAAAACATACTAATTTAAACATAGCTATTTTCAGGAGCAACACCTATGGCTTCAATTCTTCAATTACAAAAAGAAAAACTAATCAGACAGTTAAATTTATTTGCAGGAGGGATAGCTTTATCACACACAGAGCCTTTTGCGACGCATTAGCAGAAGAAAGCGCAAGAAATATGTCAGCAATGAATCCATTGACCAATCCTCTTCTCTTCCACCCACCTCCTCCCCCTTCCTTTGATCCCTCCTCTATCCCACTTCAAACTCATTTCCCTCATCTCATTAGAACAATAGCCAACGAAACCTACCAAACCAACACTTGCAACAATAATAGCATGAACAATAATCACACACTTCAAGACCTCACTCTCAAAACAGAACAGCAGCAGCATCAAGACTTCAGCTTAAGGCCAGATATTCCATCTTGGCTTTCCACCACTACCACTTCATCACTCTACTCTCCAGTTCTTGAACAAGACCATTTCATTCATGAGAGCCACCAGTCTCTTCCTCCTCCACAGTCGCATATCTCGGCAACCGCTCTGCTCCAGAAAGCAGCTCAGATGGGCTCGACAATGAGCCGGCCTTCGCCAATTCACTCGCAGATGGCTGGACACAGCAATGGCGGCCTTGTTCTACCTTCTTCTCCCGTAGAAAAAGGTTTTATCAACGGGTCAACGGCTTCAAACCATTTCCTTCAGATGATGAATTCATTCACACAGGGTAATGGATTTAGAGAGAATGATGGAAGACTTGAGGAAGGTGGAAATGGTGGAGTTGGCGGAGGGAGGAAGTTGCATGAGTTCTTCATCATATGAGTAGAATGGTAATAAGAAGCCATGGAATACTGGTAATTAACTAGAATCTGTTATCAGGAAACTGGTATTAATGCTTATATAGTTTCTATGTCTTTTCTGTAAGAGACATATTATTATATGAACTTTTGTTTGCTAAAGTAGACACTCTTTTGTACTAAGTGTACACAATAATGGAGCAATTTTACTATTTTCAACTTGCATGAGTTGAAATATTGATATGTGAGAGGGTGGAGTGATGAATAGATTCTCTTTAGGAGCTGTTTCTTTCATAGATAGCAATACCATTTTGATAATAGTTCAATTTAGAAACAATCTGATGCTATATAGAAATATCAAATACTACAGAAAAATCTTCTGTTACTGACAGAATTTTCCGTCGTTCAATTTTCTAGGAGTTTACCGACGGAATACAATTAAATAACATTTCCGGTAGCAATTGCCGGCGAATTTCTTTCCTTCTGTAATGACTGTTTTTTCTGTAATGAAAAGTTATTAATGCAAGAAATGTTGACTTACAAATATTGATAAATTTGATTGATATATAGATATTATTAATTAAAATAGAGGAAAAATAATATAATAATATATCAAATATCAATGAGCTGAATAGCCTTTTATTGTGACATGAAAGTCCTGATAAATTTGAATCATGAAAAATAAACATTCTATATTGTAAGAATCTATCTACTTCTATTAGCTGGTCTTGTCTCATTATATATCATGGCCTTGGGTTTGTATAGTTCAGCTAATATTGATTTGGTAGATAAGCAATAACTTTCTTTGTAAGGCAGCAGATTCGAAGCTTTAAATATATAAATAAAACATTATGTGCATCTAACTATTTAATCGACAATTTGATTGGTTGCTTTTTTTTATGTCAATTATCTTTTTGTAATGCCCAATAATTAGGTTTTGATGCCCCTTATTTTTTCATGCTAAGTTTTTCACAAATAATTTGTGTACTGATTAACACTTCTATTTATTATTATTATTATTATTATTATTATTATTGGGTGTTAGAAAATATTAAGTTTATAAAAATGTCAAAATGTGGCACTAATCATACTTTATCTTCCACTCAAAAGGGGTGTGATCTTTCTATGCTTCTAAGAGATCAATTGTTAAAGAATTACTTGGAGAAGCTATAAGGTATGTGATATGATATGTTGACTAGATGTCATGACTATGAAGGGAAGAGGAGAACAACTTATAAGAAAACAATATCATGTAAATTTGATTCAATCGAGATTTGGGCATTGAACCATTTATTAGTCAAAATAGTAAGTGATTTGATATCACACAGCCTAAATATATTTATTATAAAAATCATTATCCATTACCTATAATCAATAAATGACATTTCCTTTTTCATTTTCCTCATTCTTTAAGGTAGAGAAGGTAAAAGGAAAAATATGAAGAAAAAGAGAGGAGAGAGGAGAGAGAAACTAGGGTTTGGATGTCACTAAGCCATTTTTACTAGTCGGTCCACATATTGTATTTGTATTTTTGTATGATATATAGAGAATTTATTTTAAGGTATAGTTTTTTGCTTTATATTATATTCGTTAGTGGCTTTGTGTTGTATAAATTAAAAGTTTATTTTTTCTCATCACTTCTCCAACTAGAACTTGCGATCAATTTCTAGTTCTTGCCACAATCGAGCACGATATGACCTGTATGGTATCTAGTCAATTTAAAGTTCTTGCCACAATCGGGATCTGTCTATCTATGCTTAGGGTTGTGCTCTTTCTATGCTTCTAAGAGATCAAATGTCAAAGAATTACTTGGAGAGGCTATAAGGTAAGTGATATGTATATATTGACTAGATGTCATGACTGTGAAGGGAAGAGAAGAATAACTTAGAAAAAAATATCATGTAAATTTGATTCAATTGAGATTGGGGCATTGAACCCCTCTCTAGTCAAAATAGTAAGTGATTTGTCACTCAGTCTAAATATATTTTTAATAAAAATCATTATCCAATACCTATAATCCATAAATGTCATTTCATTTTTTATTTTTTTCATTCATCAAGACAAAGAAGGTAAAAGGGAAAAATATGAAGTAAAAGAGAGAAACAACAGAGAAATTAGGGTTTGGAGGTCACTAAGCTATTTTTACCAGTCAGACCTTAAATTGTATATATATATTTTTTGGAAGATATATTGAAAAATTATTTTTAAGATTTAGTTTTTTTGCTTTAATATTCTATTTGTTGGTGGATTTGTGTTGTATAAATTGAAATTTTAATTTTTTTCTTCACTTCTCCAACTAGATCTTGCATTGGGGTCAATTTCTGGTTCTTGTAACAATCGAGCAACGTATGACCTATGCGATATCGGATCATATTTAGTTAAGTCATGAAAATAAAATTATCTGATGGTACTAGAGCTGCACTATTTTGATCATTTGGCATATTTTTCTCGGGTAAATCCATTGTAGTTGTTCACTTGTACAATCCTCTATAAATAATTCATACATGTAATCAATCTTCTATGCAAAATAAAACACCAAAATATACCGAAATCTTACGTGATTCACAATCAATTTTTTTTTTGGTTAAAACCCACAGAGGGGCCTACGCGTTAATATCAAAAATTTGGTTACAAAATCCTTAGAATGATCCTCCAGCTCGCTACTACTCAAAAGAACTACAGGATAAAAAGAAATAAAACCTAAGAACCGGTGGTTCCTTTTTCTAATATTACATAAAATGCATAACAAAAACTCGGGTTGTGAGTAGACAGCACCCAAAAAAGAAAGATCATCTTAATCCCATTCAGCACAATCTTCCTGCAAAAATATTGATGAAAATTGAAATGGCTGAGGAAATTACAAACTAAGAGTACCTTACGATCATTGAAGCTCCCTAATCTAAAAGACCAATTAACCCTGCAAAATACTCTCAAAAAAGACATATTAGAACGATAATAAATAACACAGTAAGAATACCCAGTAAAAATATGCCTGAAGTAATGACAGTTACTAAGAGCATCCAAAAAATCCAGCATACGCTGCAAGACCATATAACCATCTCTAAAACTCCAATCGTTTGGAAACAAAAACCGAATAACATGCTATCATAAAACAAGAACTAGGCCTATAAAAAAATAAAGCTAATAATAGCACACCAAATTATACCATTATACCAATTCTGACCAGAAAAAACATCACAGTTCTCATAAAGAAAATCAACCCGCAAAGAACCAGCACCATTAGAATAAGCCTTAGAACAAGGCTGCAGGCCAGCCAACCGCAAAAGCCACATACCAGATAAGAGTATAATCCCGGGACATACCAACCTTCTGATTATCCATAAATATAGAAGTAACTCCAGGCAATACACGCAATAATAACCCTAACTTCCAGCAAACAAGCCAGAAATAAATGGTTATTAGTGAAAACCAACCAAGTAGATGTAATACAGTAGGCCATAAGAAAGATATTCAAAATCAACGAGAGAAAAGGATCAAGACAGGAAGACAACAAACATCTGGACGGAAACAAAAACAACAAATTACAGAAGGCATCAACCATTATGAATATAAGTCAATCCAGCTTTTTCCAGTAAAATCATACCCTTCAATATAAGATTTAAGTTCTGAATATCAAATTCCTCATAATTATTAAGATAACAACCCTTATTGACTAACCAATCAGCACATACATTCCCCTCCCTGTAGATGTGAGATATATAATAATTAATCAAAGTCAGGGCAGTCTTAATTTTTCTAATAAAGTAAAAGTACGTTTTGAGGATTACCAGGCACAACATCATTAATGATATGGACAAGAAGCATATAATCCACTTCAATCCAAAGAAAGTTAAAACCCAACTTAATACAGATATCTAGACCATAAGACAAAGCATTTAGCTCAGCCGTCCCAACATCAGAAAGCTACAAAGGAGCAGCATAAGCAGCCAAAACATCACCCAAATGATTACGAATGATACCACCCACACCAGCAAATCTCGGGCCAACAGAACCATCAGAGTTCAATTTAATATAAGGAGGTTTGGAATTAACCCAATTCACAATTCTATCAACCGTAATTGCACTGACAGGATTCAAATTGATACCAAGAGCAACATCCAACTCTCTACAATTAAGGAAGTTCTTAATAGAAATCACTTTGTAAGCATAAAGCTGCATAATTTTGCTTTTCACATTAGAAATAATAAGAGAAGCATCCATATTGATTGCCTAGTGTTTGGCCTTATTTCTCGCTTTCCAAATATACCACAGAATAAAGATAGGAATCAGATTATGAACATGACCTTTAGAAGTATGAAACCAACTCTCTAAAATCGTAACAATGCTACTGTGATTGGTTGTAGAATTTTTGTTAGCAATGCTATTGAAATAAGACCAAACTTTCTTAGCAATAACACCATTAACAAAGAGATGATCAATACCGTACTCTCCAAATTAGAGAAACATAAGCATTTAGAAACGAGAGTAATACCTTTTTTTTTTAAGGTGATCATCAACCAAAATAAACCCTTTGAGACATCTCCAAACAAGAGTAGAATAAGAAGCCAGAAAAGTACTATGCCAAATAGTAGTAAAAGTAGTTGATTTGTCAAATTTGATTCTAATATTATCCCAAATCTTATTCAACAGAAATTACCATTAGAAGAAATAGAGAATATAATTTTATCTTTGTAATTAACTTGTAAAGGAATATTCAAAATAACATCCACTAAATATAGAGGAATAAACTCCCTAAGTTTTAAAATGGTCCATCTGTTCTCCATAAAGAAGGAAGAGACTTTAACAGATTCAATAGTATGCCTATTTAAAAAAGAGTCAATCGACATATTACCTAACCAGTTATCCTGCCAAAAATAAACATCACCAGTACCCAAATCTCATTGAATGAAATGCTCGGCTTCCCATTTAATGTTGCACAATCTTTTTCAAGTCATAGAATCTGCATTTTTGTAAAAACAAAGACTTAGATGAAAATTTTGCAGTATTTAGCATTCATATAATGGGCCCATAAACTGATATTAGATCTAAAGGAAAACCATAATTTATGGGAGAAAGCTTTAGCCGTATCAGCCAAATTCTTGCAACCTAAACCCCCTTCATTCAAAACCCCATAATTTTTATGCCAAGAAGATCAATGTATGCCATTGTTATTGAACTTAAAACCCCAAAAAAATTTGTTTATCATTCTCTCTAATCTAGTACAA